GTCCTAAACTTATTCCGCGGCGCAAAAGAAAAAGGCGAGAAAATTGAAACGCGAGGGATTTATGAAGTCACACTTGTTGGTTTGTGAGCGCTTCCTTATTGCATGAATGATCAGGGATGTTGATGCAGATAAACAGACAAAACGGGGTGGGGGGGGGTGGGGGCGTTTCATGGACTGGGTTATGAGTGACGTACGCTGCTCACAGGTAAATCCAGGTGTTGGGGAGCAAAAAATAAATAAAAAAAACATATATATATAAAGATAAATAAATTCCACCCACTGACTTGTCTGCCCATTTTCATCACCGGCTTCTCCTATTGGACTTGATTTGGTCGTGATTTGGATTCTCCCAGGCCTCTTTTCGCCCACCACGTCCCTACCTCAGAGAATAGACCAAATCACTCCACAGCCTCCACCGGATAAGTCCTCACTCAGTCCCCGGGAGAGGATAGGAACTCTAAAAGGCGCTTTGATGAACGCCCCCCCCCCCCTTTATAGGCGGAGAACAGGCCCCCGGTGAAAGCGCTGAAAAGCAGAGCTGCCCCCATCCCCTCCTCTCGGCGCGCCCCTTAATTCCTCTTCTCTCTTGCTCTCATCCAATTAGCTCAGTGTATTAAGCGGTTTATCGTCTCATAACCGCCCTTTCAGCTCCAACAAGAGAGACACTCTGCAATAGGACCAGCTCTCCTTTTGACACCCTCTCCGGCGCTTGTATGCGCCACGGCGCTATGAATAACAGCGACAGAATGGGCGACTAATTCCCTCATCAAAGCCCGCCTTGTCCATCGCCGGTTCAAAAACGACAAGCAATAAAGCTTAACGGGACAATTACAAAGAGACTTGTTCGACCTTATTAGCTTAGCGGGGTTGAATTAATGCAGGGACGTAATTTGGTCCAAGCTTGGGGTGGGGTGGGGGGGGAAACAAAACGATGCCCACCTCCTCGGCCTCACTTTAAAAACCCGCGGTGTGATCGCGGGGACATATATTAAGCACTGAAGTTGATTAAATCCAGAAAAGAGAAAGGGGGGGAGAACGAAAAGCAACTGTGTGAGAAGAAGTGGAGCCGATATGATTTAATAAATATGTAAAGTTATGAGCAGTAGGATGTTAAACGCACGGAGACACTTTCTCGCACACAGCGTGTTCTATCACAGTGAATCACGGTTTAAGTGTTCAGCCCACTTAAGGTTCGCAAGTCACACAGGTTTGAAGTGATTTGTGAGGCGTGCAGTGTTTATGGAAATGCACACGGCAGGATGGAGTTTAAAAAGAAAGGAAAAAAAAAACCATAGTCTATTAACACAATGGAGAATTCTTGGAGGAAAAAAAAAAAGAAGTGGGTTTCATGCTGAACTTCAGCAGGTTGAAGCCGGGCAACATTTAGATCCTTCATTCTATATATAGACAGCTGTTTGTCCAACTCCTGCAACAGTTTGTTTCTCGAGTGTGAGTTTTTATTAAACCGTGTCAGGTGAGAGCGAGAGCATCATTTAATGTTTTTGTGTCTGTTAGCAAAATATCTCGTGATCTAATTGGCATATTTTGATAAAACTCTCCGATTTTTAACCCCGGATGTACGCCTATAACTCTTCAACTTTCAGAGTCAACTTGATTCAAGATGGCCGCCGCAGACAAGTGACCCCAAAAAACACAAAAAGGGGTTTAAATCAGCAAATTTTACAGATATTAATCTAAAATCTTGTGYGGTAGTAAATGAGTTATTGACAACATAAACTCTGAGTGCAACTTGTTTTGAGTGAGATCTTTGCTTTAGACTTCAGCTTTAATCGTTTTTGTCATCCATGTGTGTCTGTTAGCAAAATATCTCGTGATTTATTGGGCAGATTTTAATAAAACTCTCAGATATTAAACACTGGATGTATGTCTATAACTCTTCAACTTTTTGAGTTTATTTGATTCAAGATGGCCGCCGCAGATAAGTGACCCCAAAAAACACAAAAAAGGGTTTAAATCAGCTAATTTTACAGATATTAATCTAAAATCTTGTGTGGTAGTAAATGAAAGTTGTTCACAACAAATACTCTGAGTGCAAAGTGTTGAGTGAGATTTTTGCTTTAAATTCCAGAATTAACTGTTTTAGTCTGTCTGTTAGCAAAATATCTCCTGACCCCACTGGATAGATTTTAATGTAATTATCAGACAGGAGCACATCTGCAGCTCATTTACTTTAGAAGTCAACCACGTTCAGTAAAGTGACCACAAAAATGGATTTAACTCAGTCAATTTGACAGATATCATAATAAAAGTTGGCGTGGTAGTAGCTGAGGGTCATCCTCAACACTCATCGACAACTTTACTTGAAGACGTCTATGAAAGTTCAGTGGTTTATCTCTGTGTACGTGTTCTGCTGAACTGCATTACGTTCATTTTTGATGCTTAAAGGGGCAGTTCTGCAGTTTTTCATTTTTAAAGTTTGGTGTTATTAGATTTTCATACAAAAGTTAAAGTTTACAGTTAAAATCAACAACGAGTAAGAAAATTCATTCAGATTACCTAAAAGTTTAAACATGAAAGTTTGTCACTTAACTGCACTTCTGAGCAGTCAGTATCTTACCTGCAGCATAAACAAGCAGGTTGAAAAAAATAAAAAAGATTAACTTGTCAAGAAGCTAAAGTGAAGATGCATAAATTTAAAAAAATATATATATATATAT